GGTTGGATCCGGTGAAGAGCCTCCGATGCTTAAGTCAGTATGTGTATGAGTATATCGGAATTAAGAGAATGAATAGAATGTGTTAAGGGATAAAGGCTCGCTCCCTTTATATAGGGGCGAGATACCTGCCCTAATAGCTGCCCGGATAAGGTGAGTTGGCTGCCCAAGTTGCCCGTCCGTACTCTGACACGCCGCGCACATGTCAGAAGTGGCGCAGGGCGTTGGGGGTTGTCAGAGGTGGTTTTCACCATCATCCAATACGTTATCCACACGTGTTGTCCCAGCACATGGGCTGAACATTCTCTAAAGATTTCGATTAGAGGCTCTTACGCGCGCCTTCGATACACGCGCTAACAACTAGGTCGATTACGGGTTCCTCGATGTGATCGGCCTGCTAAGGTCGAGTGGCTTGCTCGATCATGTGTCTGGTCGATGCATCTGGTTGATTATCCAAATATTTGGCCTTCCTGTCCCCTTACGGTTTGTTTCTCCTCTGTTCAGTTTCCCCGACCGGCCAAGTAGGCTGGTTTATCCTTGAGTATATAATATCCCATATCAGATATCTTACGCCGACACTGTGAGTCGGGCTCATGAGGTGGAGAGTTGTCTCATTCCTATAGCTCCAGTCCCCTCCTATCACCACACTTCTCAGCCTGCTCAGACTCCTATTCAGTACGCTCAGCCTGTCTCATCGGCGCCGCCCGGCTCTAGTTTGTGCAAGAGAAAGGTTGATTCCCACCGAGATGACTGGAAGGGAAAGCGTGGAGGCTCAGACAGACGTGATGACCGCCCCGCCACCCATGGCCCTATTCTAGCGTGTCCTAAATGCGGCAAAAACCATAACGGTGAGTGTCGAGCTGCTCAAAAAACGTGCTACAATTGTCAGTGCATAGGTCACTTTGCCCATATGTGTCCCGAGCCGAGGAGGCAGCAACAGGGACCTCATCAGCAGCATACGCCTTACCCTCATCAGCAGCAGCTTTCCCCACCGCCCCCGCAGTTGAATGCCCAGCAGCCCCTACCTCTACAACAACAGCATCAGCTGTAACACCCCGACTTTCTAATACATCAGAGTACGCGGTTTTTCGGAAATTTTCTGAATAAATAAATAAATAAACTAACTTTTTAATTTGCGAAACTGATTC